TACTTGAACAATAATATTATCAATTATATTATATTATAGAATATAATACCATATATAATATTACCAATTAATAGATTTTATTTAATTTCCATTTGACAATTACTTACCAGGATTTTACTTTTATATATATATATATATATATATATATATATATATATATATATATATATATATATATATATATATATAGATTATTAATTATTATTCTTTCCATTATTATTAATTATTATTAGAGTTCCGGTATATTGACTTCCAAATCTTACTACTTAAATTTTACTCTTTATGTAGCGAACATTGATAAGTTATTGGCTAAAGTGTCATTCTGCACCATAAACCGTAAGCCATTCTTCACTTTCATAAGTGCTGATTTGATCCACAAATCAAAAATATATTGTCGCTTAGCTTTTTTTACAGGTTAACTATAGGTTGCAGGTGATAATTTGTTGACATGGATTTTTTTTTTCATTAACACAGTCAACGCAGTCTTCTTTCCCCATCTTCTTCACCAACTCTCCAACCACCCACAACCACATTGTCCCAGAAAAATAAGGTGGTCGGTCACTACCTGCTCCTTCGCTCAAAGAATCGTAGTCAACGCCCAATGGGAAGCCAGGGTCCAGGGACACTATACTTCAACCACAAGCAATTCATTAACTTTGGCGGAGAATTTGAACCCATTCTAATAACAGATTATGTGCCCGACTCCACACACGAGTTAGCCTGCAAAAGGGAAAGCAGTAACGACTGGCGGTCTTCAAAAATAAGTTATTTGGTGATAAGCAAAAAGAACTTACCTTTTACACGAATGAACTCAAGTTTATGGATATGGAACAGAGAGCTTCTTATCACCGTCAACTTTCACGACTATTGCAGCAACTGAATCATTGGCTGAAGGAGGAGAATCTGGTGATTTTTGGATGTAGAGATCGAGTTGCAGATTCGTGGGTTAATGGGTGTGTATCAACAAAGAGTAAGATATCATTCAAGACAAAAAAAAAAAAAAAAAAAAAAAAAAAAAAAAAAACCTCTCTCTTGTCTGGCAAGAAAGAAAGTGTGGCTGAAATTTCTGGTCACTTCATCTTTTCCGATCAAGTTTCCGGTGACCACCCAAAGAATGCTTTCCTGTAAAGAATCCTGGGCATGAATGCTCTTCACTTGCACCTCGGAATCCTTGTAGTCTGAAGACATGATCATATTGTTTATTCCCTGCAACAATGGTGGACATGTAGTATAGTAGTTCAGAAGATTTTGCTCAAAATCAAAACCAGTAAATACCATTTTTTTGAAAGGCAGTAAATACCATTTAATTCCTTGGGATACTGAGATATCACTTTCATTGTTGTCACTAAATGTACAACGCCGTCGGTTCCTTCCCAGCCAGCGAGGCTTGAATTGAATCCTTGTAGAATTTGTGAGTGTCCTCGCAGCACCTTAGCCAGTAGCCCACAATGCCGGACGTCCCCCTAGAGACTCCTCTCACCGGAAAAGCTGTGGGTGAGTCAGACAACTCAGTGGACACACCGGAAGGGACTATGTGACCGTTGGAATTCATCTAATCAGACAAGCCACATCAGATATTACCGGTGGAGGGGATAGTCCTAGCGGGATGAGAGAGGCGAAGGCCACGGTGGTGGTGTAGTTTTTTATTTTTTTATTTTTAAATGCTTACATGGGCTCCATCTCTCATTTTAAATTAAAATTAATAAAGCCACATCAGATATTACCGACTCCATGTCATTATGTTTACTCGGCAACCTGTAAAAAAGGCTAGGTGACAAATATTTTTTGGTTTATATATTGAATCAGCACTTATGAAAGATCATGGTGCGGCATGAAGAATGGCTTATGGTTCATGGTGCGGAATGACACTTTACTCTAAGTTATTTTTTCATGTGAGTCTAATACAAATGTTAATATTATAATTTTATGTGTGAGAATAAAAGTTAGGAGTAGAAAATGTTGTGTTTACGTCAAACGAAGTTTAAGCGGTAGGGCCGTAGGGTGCGAGAAGTCCTAAGTTGGTTGAAGGAGTTGGGAATGGATCATTTTGAGATCAAGATGGATGCACAGTTAGTCTATCACGCCATTTTGAATGGCCGGCCATTCCTTTAATTCGTTTGGGGCAATTATTGAGGATGTTAAACAAATTGTATCTCAGTTTATGTGTGTTAACTTCCAGTTTGTTAAGCGGATCGAGAGCAACGAACGTTCCCACGTAGTTTCCAATACGTACCAAAAACTCCGTAGATGCGTACAACGATGGCAATCCGTGCACTTGAACCCAAAATGATATAGACTCCAGTTTCACCTCTTCTGGTATGGCCTCCAACGGGACCTATACACAGATAAACATATGATTTTCGAATGTCCATGGTCCGTCTTCGATGACCCTTTGAAGGTCCTTTGAATGGGGAACTGGAATAGGGATGGTAATGTGCCCCGTCCCCGAATAATATATTTATTTATTTATTTATAATATTATATATTATATTATTGAATATTGAATGTGAATATTTGAATGTTGATTGTTGAATGTACTGTCTATTGTGTATATATACATTTTTTTTTATATTCATTCACTGCTTTGTATATATACATTATTCACTGTTTTTTATGCATATTTTTATTCACTGCTTTGTATCTTCATTCACAAATTGACTTCAATCACTGCTTTGTATCTTCATTGAATGGACTTCATTGCATTTTCTATTTCGAATTGAAATTGGAACTTTGTTAGTTCGTATATTATTAAGAATAGTTAAATGTTAATTGTTGAATAACTATAATTTTTAAAATAAACCGGACTTATGAATTTTATTTTTTTTTTTTTTTTAAAATTGTTTTAGTTTAACACTTTGACTATGGGTTGACCAGGGATAGGGATTCTCCGTCCCCGCCAAATTCCCCACAGGGACGGAGAATTTTTTCAATTCTCCGCCGGGGACGGGGAGTATACTCCCCACCCCCCCGCCCCGCCCCGTTGCCATTCCTAAACTAGAACATGAAGAGCTCATCCGTTAAAGGCACTACATGCATTTCCATCACCGGCCTCCACACAGAGGCAATGACTTGTCTCATGTATTCAAATTTGATCGGACGGTCCGTAAGGAAACGTCCAACCAGATTGTATTCGATTGCAGCATCAGGACCCTTCTGGATATCAGGGCCTCCAGCTCGTTGGTTTCCTCCTCTGCGAGTGACAAATCCGCGCATCGCTCCTCAATTTGCCGGAGATCCATTGTGAAACAATTTGACCGAATAGAACACAATAACATGAAACACCACACAATCATTGAAATCTCCATCATCAACGCTTGAAATAAAAAAAACCCTAGACTGCTAAGGAGAGACTCCCTTGGCCACTACCAAGAGAGGTTGCCACGATCATGGATCACGATCGGAGATCACCGTCGGAGATCACGATCTGATTTTGCGAAAAGTGCGGAGATAATTATATTCTAGGCAAAATTAGATGTTTATAACGCCTTTATTCAAAAAAGAAAAAAAAAACATTCATTATAAAAAAATATAAAAAAAGATATCATTTATTAGTTATATTATCTTTGTTTTCTACAATTTAAAGATTCCTTACATTTAAATACATTAATTAATTATATCCACTACATTGTTCATTGTATTTTTTTACACTATCTTGTAATTAAATATCAAAGTTATAATACAAAATATATTATATATTTATTTATCAAGTATTTTATACAAATATAATAAATACTAATATTTTGTTTAATATTGTTTTCACACTTTGGAGGAAAATTTTTTTTGATCATCATTTTGCTTTAATATATATATATATATATATATATATATATATATATATATATATATATATATATATATATATATAGAGAGAGAGAGAGAGAGAGAGAGAGAGAGAGAGAGAGAGAGAGAGAGAGAGATTATTGCTTTCACACTTGCGAAGGAAAAATTTTGCTTTAATATATATAGAGATATAGAGATTTGAGAAGTTAATTTTATTTTTGGTCATAGATTTATATGTGATGTTACACTTCTAGTTTTTTTTTTTTTTTTTTTTTTTTTTTTTTTTTTTTTTTTTTTTTTTTTTTTTAGAACATCTCTTGTTATTCATAGTATTATTATAAAATGACAATTTTTGTCTTTGGTCAATAAACTTGTTTAAATAGCGTCAAATATGATAACATTTTAGTATATTTAATTATAAGTGTTAATTTTGATTTTTTTTCTGTTATATATTTATGTGTTGTTCCTCTGCTGCGGAGGCTCATATTGTAGAGACACTGTTGTGGATGCGTGGATCGTAATTGAAGAAGACATGTGATTCTAATCGTCAATTAGAAATTTTTTCAAAAAAATAAAAATAAAAGTGTATTAGGTTTTTTTCTTTCTCAACCTACAAAAGTACAAAGAATCAATAACGCCTCCACTGAAACTCAAACTCACAACCTCCCATATGGGAGTCCAACCCGAATGCCAGCTAAGCACAATGTGCTTAGAAGAAATATAGCAGGTTAATCAACTTTGTATACAAAAATATCAAAATACCATAATATTTAGTATCATTTAAATAAATTTATTAACAAAAAACAAAAAATGATCATGTCTCACTAATACTATAATACTAAAATCAACATAAAATATATATATATAAAAAGATTAAATTTTAATAAAATAATAACTATAAATTTAGTTCAAAAATAAAATTAACTCTTTCTAATAAAAGGAAATAGGCCTCTTCAAAAAAAAAAAAAAAAAGGAAATAAGAAGGGCCCACAGATAGTACTTTAGTTTTTTTTTTTTTTTTTGAGAAAGGGCCCACAGATATTACAATCGCACCCACACTCCAGTTCTCCCTCTTGTCCCTCTCCTCCTCATTCCTCAAACTATATATGCGTTGGTACTTGCTCTGTTCTTAACTAGTTAACTCAAACCAATTTTTTTTTAAAACATTTTTTCCTGATAAAGTTTTAGTTTTTTTTTTTAAATCATAAATTATAAAATAAAAAAAGATTTTTCTTGGATTGTATTATTAAAAATTTAATTAAATTAAATTATTATGTAATTGTACCCCAAATTCCATGCAGAATTAAATAGCTGGATTTCACAATCTGTGTCTGATTTTCTCTCCTCCTCTAATAATTTATAGGCCCTGCTCTAAAAATCCTAATTTATACTCAATTTTACAATTTTTCCAATCAGTTTGTATTTTTGTTTGAAATTTTTTTTGTTTTCGAACATGAGTGGTGGTGCTAGGGTTTCGATTCCGGCCAACCTCCGGAAGACGATCCAAGACATTAAAGAGATCGCCGGCGACCACTCCGACGAGGACATCCTCGCTGTTCTCAAAGAATGTAAGATGGACCCCAATGAAACCGCCCAGAAGCTCCTCTATCTTGGTATACATAAGAATGCCTATTTCTCTCTCTCTCTCTCTCTTTTGGGGTTATGTTTGTGTATTATTGAGGGAAATCGGTTAATGCTCGTTGTTTTTGAATGTTAACGTAATGCGGTGATATATGGGCGGTTTAGGTGGATTTCGTTTCGGTTGTGGTGGGTTAATTTGGAGAAAAGAGAAAGAATGTGTTCTTGGTTTCCTTTTAATTCCAGAAATATGTTTTTGAGCCCTATGGATTCATGAGTTTCATTCAGTAGCGATTTTATCCACTTGAAATGCATATGCAATAGAGTAACCTATTTTGATGGCTTGTTCTTTTCCCTCTCTTGGTTGAGCTTATAATGAGCTTGGTTGGGGCCTAATCCAGCTTTTCAGTACGTGCCATTCTAATGGCACATCAGGCTCATTTTGGCTGGTCCAGGTCTTCCATTTTTTTTTCTTCGTTATTGTATGATTTCTTGTATAAGTTAGGATTATTTGGTGAAAGATATACTGTACAGAGACGCGGAAAGGGTAAAACTTGGAAAATTCTTGTAATTTCTTGGTAAAGGATGTTGTAGAGTTGACTGTTGAATGGTTAAATTTGTTGCTTAGTCACTTTGCTTAATTTTGCAGATACCTTTCACGAGGTTAAAAGGAAACGTGATAGAAGGAAACTGGTGAGCATTTCAATTCAGTATATACATTTTGCCTGATGGTCTCCATTGTTTGTGGGTAGTTGCAACTTGCGCATGTTAGATAGTCAAAACCATGTTTTAATAAACTTCATTAGCTTAATTTGTTTCTTATTGATATTTCTTTATTTAATTGAATTGTTTTCTTGAATATTCTGTTAGCTCAATTGTTCATCCAATAATTATCTATTTCATAGAATACCAACAATCGAAGTGCTGAAGAATACAAGTGGACACCAGGCATGCAGCGGCGAGGAGGTAGGGGTGGAAGAGGAAACTATTCTTCAGCTTATGTGTCTGATGGTATGTTAATTTTAATTTATTACATAAAGACTGTCTCTAAAATACACTCATATGATTTATGTGGTTGAACTGGAATTCTTGATAATATTTTTATTATAGCAAATGGGCTAATGATTTCCTCATGAGTCATGAACTTCAACGTCGCTAAGTATATTGTTATCACTTGGAGTTGTTTACACTTTTGCGTGCAAACATATTTGCTTAGGAATTTAAGTCCACCTATGCACTTTCACTGACATTCCTGGGTATATGCTGCTACCCTTTCTTTCATGTGAAGGGAAGTTGGTAGGAAAGTATTTTGGCAGGATAACAATGGTTATCTATTACCATTTGAGAATGAGATGCATTTGCCTCATTGGAATCAGAATGTAATTGCTACTTCCGTATATGCTTTCTACATATTATCAATAGTTGAAAATCTACTATACCTGAAAAAGGAGTTTTATCTTTTTCTTTCTTTGTGTGTGTATGCGTGTGCTTCAGTTTAGTTGCAATTTGTACAAGAGTTGATTCTGGGATGTTTCCCCTAACTAATGATTTGTGGTTTTCCTGTTACCCTGTTATTCAACAGATGCTGGACGCAGGAAACAAATGAATTATAGACAGGAAAACGGAGTAAGATATTCTACAGAGAGAAATGCCAGGGGTTCCTTGCCTGTTAATACCCGATCAGAAAAGAATGCAGCCCATCTTGTCAAAAGGTGAACTTTATTTCTGCTAGCAAGCTACACATTGTTATTAATGGTTCATAATTAATAAGTTACTGGTTACATAAAATCTTTTACAGCGCTTCAGCTTCTGCCACTGGGCCAGCAACATCTAATGGAAACTCAAATCATGGATCATTAACCCAAGTAGCTGCAAAAAGGGCTAGTGATGCCAGCATAACCTCTGTAGTTGATGTAAATAAGTTTTCAAAAATGCCTGTGACCCTAAAACAACTCCGATATTTAAACCCTGGCCCTACTCCTACTTCTACCCCCACATTTTCTCCAGGTAGAGTCAAAGATGAAAATTCCGAATCAATACCTAGTGATCTGATTATTAGCCTGGCTTCAGCATCTGCATCAGGTGTCTATTCCTCTGCATCAGATCCTGTATTAATGCCATCTTTGAACCCTCGAAATCCTGGAGCAGTAGGAACAATAAAGCGTGAAATAGGAACTCAGAGGATAGCAAATGAAGCCCAAAGTGAGAGCAATGTGAATGTTCAAGGTATCATGAAAAATGGCCATCCTGCATCTGGAATTGTAAACTCCACTAACAAAATAAGGCCTACAGAATCACAAGAAGTTAGAAAAAGCCGGTTCGCTGAGTCTTCAAAACCTTTACCGTTAATCCAGGATGAACCACAAGCTATTATAAATAATTCTGAAAGTGGCCATTCTGAACAAGGTAATAATCATTCAAAGGTTACTGACTTACTGTTAAATGATTCATGCTCCCCCACCCTAATTCTTGTCTAGAATCTTGATGCAAACCACTTCTATGACTAATATTCTGCTATTACATATTGATATTTGCTTCAATTGAAAGTTTGAAACTTTCAAAACTACTTATATTCGTTGATGTTATTTCCCTTCTGAGTTCTGGTTAATGTAAATCACATGGTTCTTTTACATGATTTTCTAAATGTGTTATAACAAAGTTTCGATGGCTTGTTAGTATGTGTCATTTGATTAGTGGAATCATTTAACATGGTGAATTATTGTATTGTGTTTGCCACTAGTGATACTAGCATTCTGACTTGGTTTCTGTTCTCAATATGGTATTTTAAATTTAGGATATTGGCTCCTTTTCCCTTTTCCATCCTCTTTAGTAATCTCAACTTTTCTTCAAATGGTTATTATGCAGTATTGGCATCTAAGGGTGGAACTGTTGCATCTGAATCCCCTATATCGTCACTTCCTAAATTAAATGACAATGTATCCACTGAACAGCTTAATATGAAGTTAGAGAAACTAAAGATTTCTGGTCATCAACCTGTTATCTTACCTGATCATCTTCAAGTACCTGAAGCCTTGAAGACTGGATTGACTTTTGGTAGTTTGGAAGCTCCGATGGAGCAGAGCATGAACTCGAGTAATGATAAACCCCCCGCTCCAGTTGTTGATCAAACTTCCAGGGAACCTTCTATGAGGTAACTTATGAAGCAATATTATATATACCCTTGCCTTGTGTGTCGAATTGGCATTTTGGTATTTTCTGGATCTGCCAGCTAATCTAAAGACATTTGCTGTTCTTTAGTCAATGGTGGTTTCTCTTTTATATGCTTTGATTACTTATTCTTATGTCATATATAAAACTGATGCAGTCATCAGGCCCCATCCTTGACTGCCCAAGAAGTCGCTCATCCAGATAATGCAGAGTCACATCAGCATGTATCTGAAAATGTACCACCAGTTGAAGACAATACGTCATCTGGTGCGGCTAAAACATTTGACCAGCCAAAGCAGGAGGTACTTCCGCCTTTTGGAGGTTCACAATTTTCTCTTGTTCAAACTCCGGATTATAACTTTGGTCTTGTACCGCAAGTGTTGAACCCACATCTTGTGCAATTTGAAGGATCAGATAAGCAGGCATGTCTTTTTGTGTCTAATTAGTTTTAGTTCCAAATTTTGTTCTCAGCATTTGACTGCATTCATTTAGTATGGCATTATATTTGCAGTATGCTGAAGTATTTCATTCTTTAGTTGCTATTAGTTCCTGCCACCTAATGCAATGGCAATCTGTTCAACTGTGTCAATGGACATATGCACAGCTTGAAACTTAATTCAAAGATTGTTAATATAGGTTTTTCCAAGGGATTACTGTCACTCAATTATGTGGTTGTCTCTGTCCTATCTTATGGAGTTCTGGAACCATAACTGTCATTTTTGTGCTCTGTTTTATTGGGGATTAGCATTTGCTTATCACATTGTCGTGAGAATCATATGTTTGCACATAATTCCTTGTCCTTATTTACCAGTTATTCTCTCTTCAATTCTCCCGTGATTGTTTTTATGAGTTGATGGCAAATTGAAAATATTTGTTTCTTTTCTGTACATGTTTTTGGGGTAGGGATGGAGAGGTTTACTTATTTTTCACTGTTAATTATTTGGTTTTGTCATACCAAAAAAGCCTGGCATTAAGATGGTTCTTTCACTTTTTAGCATCATTATTAGTTTGTGACGAAGCTCCATGGCATATGTGGTTTTGTGTTGCATATTTGCATCATGATATTAGTATAGTTTTCACTTTCCACTACAATATGATTTTCTTGGCCCGCAATTATATATTTCTAGAATACAAATTTGTTAATCCTTTGAAGATTAATGAATGGGTAATACGGCTCTAAATTCTTAATTAATGGTATTATAACATCTAAACAATTATGCAGTAAAAGGGGTAGGGAGCTGGAAGATTTTTTATGTCCTCAATTATTTTGGTTTCTGAATTCAAGTAAATGTTTGAATTCATGTCCAAATGCAGGGTGGGAATTCTCAAGCACAGTCAACATCGGCCTCAACTCCACCTGTTTCTCAACCCATGGGCATTGGACAGAGTCCGGTAGCCGTATCTCCACAGTTGTTTCCTTTCCTCAGACAGCCATATGCTTCTAACTACTTCCCTTATAACCCTTATCTCCCTCCCTTTTACATGCCTCAAAGTGCCCACCAATTTATAGGCCCAAGTGGCTTTGCTCAACAACCTTCTACTGCCAACATATATATGCCTCCTCCATCAACAGGGGTTAAATTCCCTGTACCGCCCCTATACAAGCCTGCGGCTATTACTGGAAATTTGGCACACTATGGGGTTCCGACTGGCTACAGTTCATATGGCTCCTCTGTTGGATATGGTTCCAGTGAAGCCCCAGCCTCCGGTGGCTCCACTAGTAGTGAAGAACTTGCTGCAGCTCAGATGAATGAAAAGAATATCTACTCCACACTAAAACAGGTGTGTAGTACTCCACATTTTAATATTTATATTTGCCGCCATATTTTTGTCTTTATTTGGACTGAACCGTAGCTATAATCACTAGAGATTGGGGAATGAACCATATTAGGATAGAGTTTCTGCATGCTTTTGATGTACCCACTCTATTATATTTATTCCCCGTGTCGCCAGACAAGTATCCTTATCACCAAACCATAAATTGCCCTCGATGTAAAATTTTCAAAACTCAATTGAAAATCGTAAATTGATTGTTTCTTATGCAAATAAATAATCTACTTCAATTTCTTACCTGGATTTTTGTTTAGAAAAGGGATTGGTCTGACTATGAAGTAGACTAATAATAACCTCTACAAGGCTAAATAAAATTGCTTAGGAATTAATAACACTACGAGGGTGGTAAGTGATCATACTTGTCTTTCATCATCATTTGTAACATGGATTTGTTTACAGAATGAAGAGCCACATGTTTGGACCTCGGCAACTGGAAGGGATTTATCAATGTTACCTCAGGCCAATTACTTTTACAACTTACCTCAGGCCCAGCAAATGGCTTTCCCCCCTGGACATTCTACACATGGATCTTTTCCCGGTATCTATCATCCATCCCAGTCGGTTGCTACCCCATCAAACATTCAATCATTACCCCAGCAAACTCAGGCTGTTGGTGGATCAGTTGATGCACTTCCTCCTTCCGGTGCTCATCAGCAATTGCAACCTCAAATGAATTGGAATTCAACATTTTTGAATAGGGAAAATATCTGAGGATAAAATCCATCGAGGATAAGTGTGTGCGTGCATATATGCACCATACAAAAAAACTAAAAAAAAAAAAAAAACTAAAATAACATGCAACCCCGAGCTCTGTATGACTGTAAATATGAAGTATACTTTTGAAATGTAGGCAATTTTGGGTGTTTTGCCCGGAATTTACACCCTGTCGTGTTTTGATGCACAGTTTTACCCATCTGCAGATGATAACAAATAGTCTTCGATTTCTTCTTTTATTTTAGCTAATAGGTGTTTGGAAGTTTGATAGAGCAGGTGGAATAATTTTCTGATTGTCATTCTCATTTTCACCTGTATATATTTGAGAACAAAATGTGGATTTATACTCTGTAATTTGCACAGCTATTGTATATATAATTTCTTTCGATCGAGTTTGGCAGTACTATATATTTGTTTATTCTTCGAGTTTGCGTTGAGGTTTAATCAATTCTTGAACGTTTTTTAGTTTATTTGCTGGCGTCAAATGAACAAATTCATAAACCAAAATTAGTTTTATAGGTGGTCAATACAGATTTTCTTTCACATTTCACATTTGTAGTGTTTATTTACAACCAAATTCTAAAACATTGCCAGGAAACATGAAAGAAAGAGGAAGTTGAAACTTAAATGTGTAAACTACCAGATTAGCTAGCAACCTCGTGTATGTGAAAAAGGGGGCATTCCGAGAATCGAACTCGGGACCTCTCGCACCCAAAGCGAGAATCATACCACTAGACCAAATGCCCACACTTGTTATAAAATTCGGTATACTTATAATACTCTGAAATCATCGATCTTGTTAAAACAAAAAAGTTTGTAATTTTGGGGCATTCCGAGAATTGAACTCGGGACCTCTTGCACCCTAAGCGAGAATCATACCACTAGACCAAATGCCCATTGCTGTTATGATGTTTTGTTTTAAAATATATAAAAAAATAACGCATCATCTATCTACTTTAAATAAAGAAACTAATAAGGGGGCATTCCGAGAATTGAACTCGGGACCTCTCGCACCCTAAGCAAGAATCATACCACTAGACCAAATGCCCGTTGTTTGATATCAATGTAAATTGTTATTTTTATTTTATAATTTATATTATATGAACTGAAATTCACATGCTGTAGTTATTGTAATCCCTTTGTCTGGGATCTTTGAATCCAATTTACTTAATGAAAATAATTTCCATTTTTCATAGTTTTCTTCCCATATTTAAGTTTCTACATAAATTTTGTGTTCTCTGAATTGCATTATTTTGTTTACATATATTAAGAGTTATATAAGCGCCTATTATGATCTAAATCGTTTTATTTTTTGTCCCATGCTAATCAACATTACTCCTCTTTTCATTCCAAACTCAAGAATACGACCAATATAATTTATTTGAATATAATTTGAAATGTCAATTTGTGAAAAGTATTCGATGGCTTCCTTATGAAATGTTATATTTAACTTTTAGTTGAAAGAACACAACTTTCGATTTTGATATAATTAGTTTTTTGGACATTGTGCGACGGGCTCAACCTAGATGAAAATGGTGTTAACAAGAATAGAACTCGTAACTTTCAAGTACGAAAATCATGTCCCACCAACTCGACCATCCCTTCAAATTTAAGGTTGGTTACAATGAGTGTCAATGCAGGTACAAGATCTCTAGATAGTCACATGATTCTTCAATTGGATACATTTAACACTCTATTAAAGAGCATATGAAATTCAAGTGATTTGATTTTCAAAGAAAGGCTTATATGGCTTGTTCTTCGTTGAAAGACTCCCGGATTCAAATGACTTAATCTTCAATGGATGGTGTGGATCTATATGCTCGGTCTTCGTGAAAAGACTAGATATATGACATAATTTTCATGGGGTATTTGAGAATTTTTTTTCTAAGAATCATTTTATTATGGTCTTTGAATAAGCTTCAAAGCTTCCTATAAGTGTGGTCTTTCAATTAAGTTTCAAAGCTTTTTAGGCTTTAAAGCTTTTCAGGATGTTTTCAAGAAATGAGAACTCTTATTTATATAGTTGTAGGATATAAAGAGTTTTGATATGTTCAAACTTTTCTAAAATTAGATAATATCAATATTTATTCAAAATGTATTCAAATATAGTAATAATATTAAAAAAAATAATCATCTTTTAAACTTTCAGTGTCTACATGCACTTCAAAAATGCATTGCTGCCATTTGTTAGTTAGCGTAACTAGGGTCACCGACTGATATAATGGATGCGTATTTACATATGAGTGAATCAATTGTTAGGAGTATAATACTACCAAAAGATTATTTCCAACATAACAAGCATAAGAATAAAAAGTTAAAGGAGTATAATACTACCAAAAGATTATTTCCAACATAACAAGCATAAGAATAAAAAGTTAAAGGCTTTAGTATGAATTGAGACTCTTTCCTTAAAATTTTATTTGCTATCTCACAACGGTTTTCCATGATAAAATGTACTACGATTTAATGTTTGAGCATTTAAACAATTAAACCCGGCAAATAAGAACAAGGTTTAAACACATAATTTTTGAGGAGGAAGATGAGCATATATAGGTTTTAAGAGCAAAAATGTAGGTTATATGACTTGTAAAATCCACCTGCTCAACCAAATGCTTATATAAAATTGAAGATGTGGATTAAATAGCAAGATTTTGCATACCATGATTGTTGAGGATATGATGAGCAGATAACATAATAGATTGGTTGGATGATGACGGTAATATGCTAACACAACTGGAGCACTACTCGACTGAAGAATTTCAAGAATACCTCCATAAGAATTATGAGTTATGTGATTCACAAGTACATCATCAACTTCATGAAGACTTGGTTGAACACATATAGTGATATGGTCTATTAATAATATTTATTTTGTAATTGTATTAATTGTATTCGATTTCAAATTTTATTTTGTTTCGTAGACAATTACATATCCAACAGCAATAGTTAACATTGTTTGTTTTATTTATGTCCTATTTATAAACTACGGTTCTTACGCCTTATTTGATTCGTGAAAAGGAATTATTAAAATTTAATTTCCATAAAAAAAAAAAGAAATTATTTAAAATATTGTTTCTATTGTTTTGTTGGTTCGAAATAATTAGTACAAAAACACATATATTCCTACCTAATAAAAATATGTGAGCCTTTATAAGAATTCATATAGTATTTTTTTTTCAAGAACAACTAGCTTGACTGCTGCGTCTTGAGAATCAAACTTGGACTTCTTGCACCCAAAGTTAGAATCATACAACTAGACCAAATGCCTATGGATATTAACATAATTGTTTATATTTTACAATGTTAAATTCTTGTTTACATAAAAGAAATTAATTTGGGGGCATTCTGAGAATTGAACTCAAGATCTCTCGCACCCAAAGCGAGAATCATACCACTAGACCAAATGCCCTTTGTTAGTGTTTATGTCCTCATTACTTTTGATTTTCATTGCTTTATCCTTATTATTATGAAAACCGGCAACCCAACCACACCCCCACCACACAAGACGACTAAGATGTCGACAAACACGCATAACCTCCAAGAAACCGACCACACAAACACAAAACACAAGAACACCAAAAGAAAAAAAAAAAAAAACACGAAACCCGCCAAAGGGGAAAAAAAATACCTCGACTGACACCCCGAGCAGGTGGTCCCCGACGCTTGGCTCTACTGTGGTCCCCACCGACGACCATTGCTACGTGGAGAATGACAAAGGAATGGAGAGAAAGACGAACAGCGTCACACTTGAAACCTGCGAATGGAGAGAGACAGGAAGGGATGAAACACAAACTAACCGGGTGTGGCTAGGTTACACAATAGTAAAATTCCAAAATTACCCCACTCCAATAATAAAAACATACGAACGGAAATAAACAGACTAAGATCCAAGAACAAATCATAATCGTCCAAATCTATTAATCTAACATCCATCAGTGTTATTCAGTCCACACGTTATTTTAAGGGGTGTTTTTACTTGAATGTAGGCCTGTGCAAACCCGACCCTACCCGAGAAATACGCCCGACCCGAAATCCGAAACCAAGCCATCCGACCCGATCCGCATACGACATTCCATATCCGATCCGCAGCCTATACAACGCCGGATAAAGCACTTCGGATAGGTTTTTTTTTTTTTTTTTTTTTTTTTTTATCCGACCCGTCCGATTATCCGAAGTTTCCTAGGGTTAGGATTTAGGTATATGCTACACGACGTCGTTTAAGGTTAGTATATATGTATGTTGAGCGCTTGTGAATGCCATTTGCGCAGCTCTCTTCTCTGAGACTCAGCTCTCTTCTCTATTCTCTGACTTCTCTCTACTCCTCTCAATCCTCTCATCCTCTGAGTCTCTGACCTCTCTCTATTCTCTAGTCTCTACTCTCTAAGAGTCTGAGACTCTGAGTCTCTACTCTCTAGTTTCTCTATATGAGACTCTGACTTCTCCGATACTTTGATTGTCTGATTGTCCGGTGGTCGGTGGCCGTTGGTGACTTGTTGAGTTGGTGGTGGACTGGTGGAAGCCCTTCTCGAGTTCTCGTGGTGATTATTGATTAGAGGCCCTTGTTCTCCGGGAAATATTAAGGGGAAACCAAGTAAAGCACAAACCCTAGTTTTTGTTTTTATTGTTTGTTGGTTTTTTTCTCTGCATGTTCAGATGTTTGTATATTTGTGTTATATTATGCTATGTTGTGATCTATTTTGTGATCTATTATGGTGGAAGCACAAACCCTAGTTTTGTAGTTGTGATTTACTCACTGATTTACTCGTAGTCTTATAGATTGTGATTATGCTATGTTGTGATCTATTTTGTGATCTATTATGGTGGAAGCACAAACTCTAGTTTCGTAGTTGTGATTTACTCACCCGTAGTCTTATAGGTTGTGATTATGCTATGTTGTGATCTATTTTGTGATCTATTATGGTGGAAGCACAAACCCTAGTTTTGTAGTTGTGATTTACTCACCCTAGTCTTATAGATTGTGATTTGTGTGGACTATGATAATGTGGTCTGTTGAGAAGTTCCAGATTGCATGTCACTTGTCTCTAATTTGTGATACTTTTGATAGTTTGATTAGGGTTTATGTGATTGTGATTTCTGTGGACTATGATAAATTGATAATGTGATATTGTGAACTGTTGAGAAGTTCCAGATTGCATGTCACAGTGTCACTTGTGTATAATTTGTGATACTTTGATAGTTTGGTTAAGGTTTCTGTGATTTTGATTTGTGTCATTGTGTGGACTGAGATACTGTGATCTGTTGAGACTTGAGAAGTTCCAGATTGCATTTATTGGTGGAAGCCATTAAATGATAATATTTGCATATTTGCATAAAAGTTAAAGGCTTGAATGTGAAATTATCAAGTTTCAAACTTGAAATTTCCATTTATT